ACATACCACTACATATTTAAAATGGATGATGTTTTAAAGTAATGATTTCCTTTAACTGTAATCAACAACCTCAGAAGTAATAGTTGTAAAATGTTGGATTATTTTTTGAATACTTTTATTAAAATATTCAAGCTGTTGTTTTGCAAGTTTCAATCACATCAACTGTTATTTATTGAATACAGTATATTGTACAATAATTATTAAAAATATATATACATATCACACGGGAAGGGAAATTTCACTGGCAGATGATCCACTTGTTCTTTCCTTATGAGATAATTAAGGAGCTTGCTATCCCACTGAATTACAAGTGAGATTGTTGGCTGGAATTATTTACTTAAGTTTTTGACAATTTCTTCACAGAAGTGATGTTTAGATTTTTGGATTGAGGAACAGTTGATGATTAGCTTTTACACCCATATGACCAAGGCTGTTAGCTGTGGCAATAAGGACAAATGTTGCCTTTCTGTTACTCAACTTGGTTCTGCTCATAGCTGCTGTTAAACTGGGAGTAATGGTACTTCTTCCTGCATATTTATAGGTTTAGAAGATGATGATTTTCCAATTGCTGCTTTATCCTCATCACTGTTATGTGTACTGTATCCACCAACCTCATCATCACTGTTGTAAATTGATTCCAGACAACTGAGAGTTTCATTCAAGGTTTGCTGTTCCTGCTTTGCACACTGTTTTTGTCCATACTTGCCCTACTTTGTTTTCTTAGCCCTTGATTCCTTTAAAGAAAGAACCTTATCTAACTAGCCCCATGCACCTACAACACTTTAAGAAAGCAACTTCAAGGGGTAATGATAAAATCATTTACACCAGAATTATGATTTTTATATAATTACTACTAGTTATTAATAATACTTATAAAACCAGATAATCCATTTGAAAATATGTCACCTCAGGTAAAAAGGTTGACACTATTGTACTGGTTTTTGAGTTACCATGTAATTAAAGAAGAAGCAGAAGAAAGAAGAACAAGAAATTCAAACTTTTTGCTATGATATTTTCAGACATTCCCAGAACTTGTGACTCAGTCGTTACATAGATATTGTTATGTATACTATTGTAAAGTTCTGATGACCTATTGAAGAGATATTTAAAATATCATTTCAATGAACAATCTGAGCCATCCCTACAAAGGCAGTGCTACTGCCTGCCCGATAAGCTTGAATGGCTTTACAAACTGAAAATATGGAATTTCATTTCCATTTTCTTCCTTGTCTGATCTATCAAGGAAAAACAAAATTCCGAAATTTCAGAGCCTTTTATATATTGGCTTACCTAGTGAAATCTTTATAGGAAGTCGTACGTAATTCTGTGTGCATTTAATAATAAAACAATAACACAGAAAGAAATATCAAAAATCTTTTCAACTATCTTTATTTAAAACTGACACATATTTTTATACATAAAGAGTAATATCCTCAACCCAAATTTCTGAGTTTGAATGTATTCCATAACATAAATACACTTTAAATCGTTCAATATCACACTATTTGTTACATTAATATATATATCACTTTTGTTTCTTCAAAACACATGCATAATTGTCTAGCGTAATCATAGTTAGTTTTATCATTTTATAAAATAATAGTCACCAAGTCTCTTCATATACATTTTTAGTTAAAGCAAAAATAGAGTATTCCTAATACAAAAAGAGTCATTATTTATTGGAAATTGTATACCCCTCTTCTCCATCTTGTTTTTAGTTTGTGTGCTGTAGTTGTTGTTAGATGCTTTCATTTTAATTACATTAGTTTGCTTTTGAAGTATGAAAGAAAATGTCACAGTCCTAAACAAATATTTATTTTAACTGTATATTGTTTCTCTGAAAGAACAACTAAAAATATACAGTGTAAAAGGTACAGTTTTATCATGAGATTTAAATTTTGCACAAAAACCTTATTATTAAACACTGATTTAAAGCATACTAAATAAATTATCCTAAATGTTGTTTGGTAATACATTCATACTGTCATTAACTGATCATTTTGGCAATATATTCATACTCTTATTAACTGATCACGGGCAGATTTTTAGCTTTCTGGCAAAAGTAAAAATAGCACAATAAAAACAGAAATAAAGAGGAAAGAAACTGTTTATGTGGTTACAAAGAATGAGTATATATGTTTTAAAAATATTAAATGAATGGTACATCAAGCAAGAAAGTTTATTAAAAGTTCATACATATGTTTATCTCAACAGTCATTAGTATCTTTCAGTATATATATATAAATGCCATTCTGTGAGAACTATCAAACATACCATTCAGCAAAACATGAGATACAAGACACATTTGATTTTTTTTTTCATACAATAGATATCTTCTGAGAAGTAGCATTTGTTTTTTTATAATTCCTAATACTACTGAAAATACAACAGATTGCTGTAATGTTACTCAAAACAAAAATAATTACTTGTTTTAATTTGATGATTATTAAATACAAATACTCCAGTTTTTGTTACTTTTTCAAATCTGGAATGCTTAGCAATACAGGGTGTCCCAGAAGTCTACACCGATAGGGAAAATAAACATTATAGTCTTAAAGTTAAACAAACATATTTCTAATGTCAGATGTACATATTTCAGGAAAGAAAATACTGCAATGGCACAGTATACCAAGAATTAATATGTTAATGGCATTCAATTTGAATAATAAATACAGAAAGAATAAACTGTGTATTTTTCCCTATGTGTCAAGACTTCTGGGACACCCTGTAGATCAGTGATAGTCTTAAAAAAAAACAGTATCCTATTATTGCACGCTAACTGTTTTTTACATCCATATATATTTACATGCACATATAATAGGATTTTTTTATATATAATACAGTAATCGAATTTTGCTACAACAATAAAACATTCTGTGAAAGAACAAGCTTTTACAAACGTTTCTATCACACATATACAGTGATACAACTGCACCAAGAATTGTGCCAATCATACTTTAATTTTACTCTCACAATATGTGCTAAAACATCAATAGTAAATTTCACATTTTTTCAGTTAGTCTAACATCCTGTACTTTTGAAGAAGTAAATAATCCACAGTATCAGTATGTTATTCACATTTATAGTTTTAAGGAACACTCTTTCAACTAAGACATCTGTAAAAAAATCAGTTTTACATGCACACACACACAGCTTTTTTTTTCTTCTTTTGGTTACGATAGTTATATTCAATTTTTAATCCTATCTCCTTTGAGATGCTCCCCCTCAGTAGTAAACTTGAGGGCTGGAAACATAAAATTGGGTTACATTACAGATGGAGGGCACAGTGCAAATAGCCCATCTTGCACTTGAATGCAAACAAACATTGAGACATGATTATTATCACAATATTGAGTTTTAGTATCGTCAAGCTGTATTTGAAAGTAGTAATATCAGATCAAAATCATTAGATTTATTTTATAAATATAGCAATAACTACTGCTATTTAATATAATGGAATGGATCTCAGTATTATAATTTTTTATTGTACAGAGATATAGATTAATTCAGAAAGTTACTTTCAAGTGAGAATTTTGATATAACTTATATTTACTACCAAGTACGTGATAATTCAATACATAATACTCAAAAAAGATTTTCTATGTATGTTTTATTCAAGTAAAAGAATTATTTTTTTTTACAAAATGTAAAGGGTACACAAAATGTTTTCACTTTTGTGGGCTTCTAAAGCCCATGCTGAAGCCTTTGACACATTACTCTATAACACCCAGTCTCTACAAATAAAAGTTTAAATGAATGAATCACAAATTTCTGTAGAAATGTATTTCAACAATGCCCCTGTGAACATATGGAGTAGAAATAGGTGAAGTGGTAAATTAATGTATCTGCATTATAAATAAAATAAATCTGAAATTTTGGTTCTTTAAAAAAAAAGTTATTTAATTTGTAATAAGAACATTCATTAAATACAAATAAACAGTTAATGCTTTATTGCATGAAATAGATTTTAATAAGTTAAATAAAGCAAGCTACCATCCACAAAAAGGGCTCATACTGTTCACTGAAGAAACAGCATTTGTTAGTGCATGTGACTGACTTTAATTTTATTACAAGAGGAATTTTTATAACACCCATTCTAGTAATTTTGCTAATCAGTTCATTAATTACTTTATCACACTGACAACATCACTGGTAAGTTATTTTTGCAGTATTCAAACAATGAACAAGATAACCTTACTCAGCTCCTAAACATTGAATGAAATATTTGAGTACAAGCCATTAGAAAAATATTCAGTCACTGAATTTCTATATTGTATTTCTTTTCCCCTAACATATAATGGGAAAACATTTCAATCATTAGTCTTGTTTTGTTAACTAGGAATGACATTGACCAATGTTATTTAATGGGTATGCCATTAAGCTGTGTTAAAATCTGGGAGTTCTCTGATAAAGACTATATTAGTAATGACTAAACATTTGATAATTACACATTTGAAATCTATATACAATTCTTTTATAAAATCTTCTTCACTTTTATTTTGCTTTGATAATGAAGTTTAAAGATCCATGCTGAATCTTTCATGTATTAAACATAACAATACATGAACAGAGGAAGAATCCATACAAAAAATATCAATGTGTAAATACTTCTAAAACCCAACACATTGTAACTTCAGAAACAATAGTAACATTGGTAATTTTAATACAAAAACTTACATTACCTAGTTTAAATGTGAAAACACACTAGCTTCTGACAAAAAAAAAGGTATTTTTCTATGACAAATTTACAACTAAAAACCTATACTTCAAAACTTATAATGCATTTTTTTGTTCCTTTTCATTGTTTCCTTTAAAAAGAACGATGATAGCTAATAAGTGCATTTTGATTCTTTAATTTATGCATAATGCAGTTAAAAAATGTTGGCAAAAAAATAGAAATTATGATGATCACCTTGACAGTGAGTTCAAAGTATAATTTCAGAAACTTGCTAAATCACAAAATGTTTGAAAAATATTTATTACAATTAAAAATGTTCTACGAATAAGAACAATAAAATTCAAGAGGTAAAAGTGATACCTATTATGAAAAAAAAAAAAGCTATCATTGTTAACAAATCTATGCAAACCAAATATTTTATTTCCACATTGTAACATACCAATGCATTTTATTTTTATGGTTTGAAATTTTAGCAAACATGCAACTGAGAAATAAAATGTAGGTTTTCTTAGAGTTTGTCAAATTTTATACGATATAATGGATGAAAATAAAACAAACTTTCACTAGGTGAATCTTACAATTCTAAAAGTGACAGTTAATGGCATTTAGTTTTACTTCAGTGAATGACACCAATAACCAGCATTTATTTAGTAATAATTCCATTATAAGTAAATATTAAAGCAACATATGTGTTACACTTCTCTTCAGTAAAACAGAGAAAAACTGCAAAACCATAAAGATGCTTAGGCTATAAAGACATTACCCAATAAATCTATTATTACGTTTTATAGAATCAAGCACCGTAACAGGTAAAAATTTATGTATGTATATATATATAGTTTTGGTTAGCTGTGCTTCTATTTATTGAAACTTACTTATGATATTTTATGATGCTTAGCAAGTGAACTATTATGCATGCTTTACCACTGAATATCCTTTACAAACTTTACATGCTTATTGACTGAAATTTTTCCAAACTTGTGCCATGATAAACATTTCATTAAGGTTCCAATGTCATAAATTTGTTTTTTTATATTTACATGAAACCAAATAAATATTTTTTTTTACAACTTGACCACGTCAGGAACTTAACAACTATAAACATTTCCTTAGCTGTACTAATGGCCTATAATTTCAATCACACAGCAAAAACAGCCAAAGTAAATATCTAAAGCAAGCAAAAAATAAGTCCAAGTAAGCTAATTATAAGTATTCTATTAATAAAAAATAAGAACACATTTTAAATATCAAAACTAGGCATGTAAAACTATTAAATAAAAAATCTACATAAAGCAATATTTACAATGGAAAAAAAACAAACAATTTTTAAACATGACTGTATAAGTTTTACAGAAATACAAAGTTCTCAGGTTAATAAGAAATGCAAGAATTTGAGATATATTTGTTTAATATACAACTTTATTTGAAAGAGATGGTTAAACACTTTGAATAATTATTGTGTTCACACCATCTGGAAAAAATATGTCTCTTTAATAAAAATCCCCAAACATCTGTATCTTGTAGTTATTCCAAAAAAAGGAGAAATCATAGCAATGAAATAGCTGTTCAGTAATGGTGAAACAGCACTTCTCATAGTAGTATCACAAGCATGGTGTCTCACCCTTAGTTAGGCAGTACCTTCAACTGTGCTTACTCTCATGGTGAAATAGTAAATTGAACGAATAAAGAATATAGCAAAAACCAGAAAACAACCTGAAAAAAAAATTTTTTATTAAATCTTCACAAAGGTAATTATTAATTTTTTCTTTTTAGATCTCAAAGCCTTTTGGGAAATATGTATAAATGTACATTAACATTTCCTATGTAGGTACGGACAATAATTTCTACATACAAGATATATGGACATAAAAATGTGTTATGTTGACTACTGAATAAGTATTAGTGAACTTCTCAACCTCTACATTCAATGGAATGGTAACACGAATAGTAGGGACAACATACTCAGATCCTTTGTGCACTGCCATTGATATTAACTTTAGTATAATACATAAAAAAAAAATCTTAACTGTGCCAAACTGATCGATACATTCCTTGACGAAGAACTGGACCAAATAGAGTAGCTTTCATGCTCACTTTACTTCAGCACCATCAAGCATACAAAGGAAGCTTTTGGGGGGTATAACACATTCCACCAAGTGACCAAAGACCACATAACAGCCAGCTACAAAAGGAGAAGAAACAATGGTGGACCAGGCCAGCAAGGCAATAAGATGAATTGGACAATGGAACCAACTGATCCTGGCTATTACCCAAGGAAAAAGAGAGTAAGCGTGAATTAAAAAAAACTCTTTCAAGAAAAGCTAAAAGTATTAGAGAAGATGCATTGAAATGAAAAGTTGCAAAATCACAGAAGATGATGCACTGCCACTGCATCAAACATTAGATGACTGAACCATTGGCACAACCAATGAAATACCAACTTTGAAAGATACAATGTGTATGCTGCAAACAAAGGCTATAAGATACTGTTCTAGCCTATCTATTGACATATGTCACCACAGTTGTATGTGAGTATTAAAACAGACGGTGGTGTAATAAGGACAGAAACTCCTGAAATTCATATTGAAAAGTGCAAAGTTTCAACAGGGTGACGTGTGAATGGGATATCTGAAGACTACAGCCCCCCCCCCCCCAACACATCACCTCAGCCCTGGAAAAAAGGCATTGGTGAAAAGATCCAGAAGGTGGAAGATAAGAGAAACCTACAACAGGAAATTTAAAAGTAACTGAGAGTAGTAGGAGAAATTCCAAAAAATAACAGGTCTGAAGATAAACTCCGCAAGTTCCCCTTCACAATATCTCAATTAAACATGATCCATGGGATTGTCAAGTAAAGAAAAGCCATTGTTAACTAATCAGAGAGGATATATTTAGCAGAGGGAGAAATATGCATACCTATACAGTGGACTGCCAAGCCAAAGGAGACAGGTGAAGAGTTTCTGGGAGTGTTTAAATTAAATCTCAGATAAACAAGATATTGAGTAGGCACAAACTGAGACTTGAACTCACAGACAATCCATCCCAGGCAAGAAGTTAACAGGGAGGTCAATTCAGTGTAAGGCAACTATTGAGTGAAAAACCTCTAATCATTCATGTAATGATGACAATTGATACTGAGTATGCATAAAACACCAGCTAATAATTTGACTACACTTGAAGAAATATAGTGTCAAAAATGGAAGAGACATAATCTGATAAACTTTTTCATAATTTGAGAAATGAAGATATGGATAAGATGATGTTTGAGTTGGGATGTATAAAGAAGTGTCTCTGAAATTCCTATTTGTCATGAAATTCTCATAGGTGCTACCAAAAATGTAGGAATACCTAGATAACAAATAAGACGGGACAGATCTAAGACCTATCTCTAATTCCCTGTTGCTTTTGGCATCGCATAGAGATGAGTAGAAATCCTTGGGAAACATGAAATAAAACATCTGTACCTACTTATTGAAGAAAAGATTTAAAACTTCCAGATCCAAAATCAAATAGAAACTGGAGAAGTTAAAATTGGATGATGAATAGAAAATTGAACTGGAGAATCTAATGAAACCAAGAAACAGTAAGACAAAAATCCATAGGTGATAGATCTGAGATGGCAATCAAAAATCCGGCCAGAGGATTCATTACAAACAGAGTAAACTGACTAGTCATAAAGATCCACCTTGCTTATATCAATACTGGGCTACACAGAAAGTAAGAGTAGATGTATCAAGTATCAAAAAACATTATATCAAAGACAGAAAATGATACTAGTGATTTCTCTGAAGTGGGGTTCTACTGTGTACCTTTGAAAACCACTAAAAGAAAACATCCTGAAACTAATCCAGTTCACATACTAATACTCCTCACCCAAATATTTTAAATTATCACTTCTCTTTCCCATAATTTTAACACAAATATATGTTACTTTTATCTTATTTACATATATTTTATTCTAATTAAACTATTACTTTTAACAAGCATATACTTTACTCTAACTGCTGTAATTTAAAATTACTCTTTGATTTAGATAGTATTTGACCTCATTCATTAAATATCACAGAACTTTTAAGTAATGCAATATTGTTAGACTTGCACATATTTACTAGCAAACATGTTATAGTTTAAACCTTGTCCTATTGTATACATAATTTGTAAAGTTCACACACTGAATAGCTCAAAATATTAATTATAGTAATAAATAAATTTTTTATCAGCAATAATCAACCAATTTTTCTTTGTATCTGTAAATGTGACAGTGAAAAAGTAAATTGTTTTAAGCAGTGTTATTAGAATATAAAATATGAAGTACACTTGTTCAGTTTTATTTTTTTTTTACTTTTTGAAAGTACTTAGAACAAAAATCCATATATTTTCTTGCCATTAAAACTATGAATATTATGAAAAAATAAAAGTATATTTTGTACATGCATCATAGATGTTTATTTTTGTATTATTTAAAATAATTAAACGTTTATAGTCCATATGCATTAATACTTTTGTTTCTAAAGGAGAATGAAACCAATATAGTTTAAACCACGGGAGGAATTTTGTGATGTAAAACACATTACTGAATTCAAACATCTGAACCTAGGAAGATATTCTAAAATTTTAAATTAGCCATTTTTACTAATTTGAAAATTGGTCTACAAACACACTGTGTACACTAAGGTGGTGTTCACATTTTGTTCTAATATATAAATTAGTAATTCACACCAAATTTTATCCATAAGGAATAACATTTAGGGAATTCTCAAGATAGTTGAAATTCTACCTTGTAGCTCACATTATATATGCATATTCTAGAATATTCAAGAACATTCAATATATAAATAAACCATGCTTTTGTTTTTTATTTCTGGAATATTCTGTATAATATGACAGTACATTCTTTTCTGTATCATTTCAGCTGACCCTGTACCAGCTTATCGTTGCAAATACTGTGACAAGAAGTTAGACTACACTTTGTCCACTTAGTTTAGAAGAAACAAATGTATTAGCAAGAAGTAAATTACCTTCAAATAGGCCAGTGCTGTATGTGGTTTTCTACCATCACAAAAAACATTAAAGAAGATAATAACCTAAAGGTTGTGATCAAGGAGGCTGCAGCTTTTTGGAACAAAGCTCAAAATACAATTTATCCAGAACATGCCATTATGAAACTAAATAAAGTTTTTTATATCACTCGTAGAGATGCTCTGACACTGAACAAGAAGACAGGGATCCCCCCAGTGGCACAGCGGTGAGTCTGCGGAATTACAATGCTAGAAACTGGGTTTTCGATACTCATGGTGGGCAGAGAACAGATAGCCCATTGTGTAGCTTTGTGCTTAATTACAAACAAACACATCTTTAAAGAAGCCCTTGTCTTCATTATGATTATTAAATATTCCATTCCTTTCTCTAGCCCATAAGTGAATAGTGCTTGATATAACATGATTATGTGGGTCATTTCAAAGTCTTGATTCTAGAGTTACATAAATTAAGATAAAGATGTTCTCAATGGTAACAGTAGGTATTGGTGATTTGATCTCTTATTGATAATTTGTAGATGGGTATGACTGGCCAAAATCAATGGAAAGTTTCGAGAATTTAGTATCTAGACATTTTAAATTCCAAAAAGTCTTCAGATTCTCAGAGGGGCAGCAAGGCCCCTTTCAGACTTTCAGTCCTGGATATGTTCCTGTGATGTGTGAGCATGTGGGTTCAGATTTCTGTTATGAGGAGCATTGATAAACTATGAAATCAAATTAAATGAGACATCATTATTTTTAATAGGTAGTAACTGTTTTAGTCATTCAGAATAGAAACTTAGAATAGATTGAAATTTGGGATGATTGGAGCAAAGTTATATTATTTCCAAGTTTACTTTTATTTTATTTTTTTAATTAGAAATCAGATGAACAGTGCTTAACCTTAAAAGTTAAATGAATGATTAAATAAACCTGTAGTACATACTCAACCTTTTTCTTGTTTGCTTTAATATTTTTTTTTTGCTTATGATCTACAATTATGAGTATATGTATTTTGGATTAAGGTTATTTATATTAATTCATTAATATTCTGAAATGATCTTTCCATTAAAAGTTTTTTTTTGAAATTGGATGATAGAATTAACAAGTGAAAATGACAAGCATGTGGCTTTTTTTTTCCAATTCACTCTTTCACTGCCTTCTATACAATACAGTTTGCATGTTCCTTCACATTAAATTATTGAAGTCACATAAACATACACAATTGGCTTTTATTTTGTGTGATATAGAAATATATACTGTATAAATTTGAGTTGGTTTCTTTCAGCTTCAAGCTTCTGTTTGAAATACAGAACTGTGTTTATTGTGTAATTGGAAGATCTGCAGTCCGCAATGGGAAGAAGTCTGTGAGGGTTTTTCCATACTAAAGAAATGGCTACATACTTGCTTTCAAAAAGTAACAAACATAACAGTGAGGCAGCTACAGTCAATCGTTTATACCATGTGATTCTTCATACTAAACCATATTCAAAGACTCCGCAAGATGTCGGTGAAGAGATGACAAGAAGTGTAGACTGTGATGTAGTTTACCCAAATATCTATGTAGGAGATCAGTAAGAATCATTTGCAATTTACACATCTAGTTGTCAATTTTAATCTGGATTTAAAATTAACATTTTCTAAGCTAGATATAGTAGCTATTTTATATATGATAAAATAATTGTGGTTGAACAAATATAAGTGTATGTATGTATTGGCTAAATTTTAATCTTCCTTTTAACTAATAATCTGTTTTTGTGCAACTAAGCATAGCTTTTTTAAACTTCATTATTTTTTACGTAACTTTAACAATAGACCTTAAACCACGGGCACTCACAGAAATATTTGCAAAGGGGTCAAAATATATATGTAGGGCATCAGCTTTTACAGTGTACACCATACTAAAAGAATGTGTGTTATGTGTGCTTAAATGCAAACACAAATTTACAGTTTTAATAAAAATTACTAAAATATTTAATATAACTACTATGTTAAATTTATGTCATAATACGTGCAATTTGTTGTGAAATGTAATGGGAGCAAATGCCCCCTCTTGCCTCTACCAGCAGGTGACCATGGCTTGAATTTTTGGCATATCATTATCTAGACCATTATAGTGCTGGCATCGAGCACTTTTTACTTATGTGACTTTCAAATTTGGCTGATCATTAGTTGAAATTTACTGTAACATTAAATTAAAATGTACATGTATGACCACAGTCATTTATGAAAAAAATACAATACATTTTTTCAGCACAAGCAGACAAATATATTGTGATCCACACAGTTATTATACATCAAAAAAATTGCTCTGAATTTCCTTATCTTCTTGCTTCAGTACACTTAACAAAACTGTGAATGAAGTTTTTTTACAGGTTATAATACAAATGTTGTAGCATCTAACTTAAGTAAATTTCAAGTTATTTATGGGAGTAAACAGGTTTCTCAACAATACGAATAAGATCATTTTGATAATCATGGTGACAAATAGTCATTGGTCCTATTAAGATCACCCAAAATCCTCAAACAATGGAATCCACACACCAACCCACCCTTCACACCATTATTTAAGCTGTTTTGTTGTTTTTAATTATACACAAAGCTACACAAGGGCTATCTGTGCTCTGCCCACCACGGGTATCGAAACCTGGTTTCTAGCGTTGTAAGTCCGCAGACATACCGCTGTGCCACTGGAGTGGGCATTATTTAAGAAAAACTTCAAACTATCCAAAATTTAAGTAGCACTAAATTATCAAAAAAAGTTTTCCAAAAATTAATAACTGTGAGCTGTTTCTGCTCAAGAACTGGTTTTATACTTTCAGAGCTTTAATTTACAACCTCCATCATTCAGGTTATTATTAATAATCTTATCAGATTAGAACTCGGAAAGAATCCAAGTGTTAGTCTATTCCAACCTTTAATGATTTTGAAAACTTGAAATTTGAGCTCATCTGCATCTCATTAGAATAATATTAATAATATAAAAAAATACATACCTCTACAAGATACCCTTCCCACACCTCTTTGCATTGAAATACGTTTGACTTTAATCATGTTTAATGTCTCGGCAATTATAGTGTGAATACTTTAAAAGTTACAATTTAAATGCCAAAAGCTGGTAAGGTATTATGAACCAATAGGCCTAAAAATAATGCTTCACTAGCTTATTTGGCATTTAAACTGTAATTTTTGTAAAGTATTATATTACATATATAAATAGTGTTTCAGAGAGAGAAAAAAACAAACTTGCAGTTTATGTGGTTTTTATCACATATTTTAAGCCTATTGGTATATAGTATGTTTTACCTCGGATCACTGTCCTTATTTTCCAGGAACACTAACTTGCCCCCACCTCACTGCAAAATACATGTGTACCAGTTCAAGTGTTACAGAGCTTCAAAACCAATAAGCCAATGTATGAGTACACAAACTGATTTTCTCATATTCTAGTTACTTTGCATGATATATGCACCTTGAATTTAACACCTGACAAAAGTGCCAGCCCAGCATCTTTTATTACTGAGTCTAGGATGGTCAATGTCCTTCTACAAATCAGTGATTTAGTTATTATGATAGATCTTGATGAATGAAGCTCCGCACAACTTCTGAAACAAAATTAAACTAAATATTAATGAAAATATGATATGATGAAATTTATATAACACAGGCACACAGTGTAGTAGGATGTTAACAGACAAAAATAGTATAAATTCAATTCAATTGAGATTGAATAGTTATATATACATTGCTATATGTTAATTCTTGTCTGTGCTATTATGTAGGGATGGTGTAAATGCCTTCCCTACTATCTTGTTTGCATGTTTTTAAAGGGCTGATATTAGATATCCATACATTTACTTCCTTTTTTGAAAAGTTCCTTTTTTAGTGCAGTGTTTCAATAGACATAGGAAGGTTGTATTTATAGCCAAGTTTTAAATATAATAAGGTTCCAACTGTAATACTTATTGCTTATCTATTATCGGCTGATAATTCCAGTTTCACCCTTTATTTAAGCTTTCCAATGGAAAACTGAAATATTGTGGGGGGGGGGTGGACCAAGATGTGTGATGGATATTAAACTGGTCATAATATTTTGGAAGAAAAAATCCTTTATGACTATATTTAACATTTTACACAGCCCAGACCCCCCTTCCATACACGAATATGAGTATAAATGATGTTTATTTTACTCGTTATTTGCATTTAATATTTTATAGCTTCCTTTGATTTTGTTTCTTCCACTAGAAAAACGAAGTACCTCTAAATTGACTCTGTAAATAAAGGAAATAAAAATAAGTGAAGGAAAACAAATTATGGAATTATTACTCTTCTCCACTTCAATTCTTGCAGTCACGTTTTCATTAGTGGTTCATAACAAATATAAAATGGCACCTCTCTTGGTTGGCATTCTCACTATGTGGAATAGCACACCCAGTCAATTCAAGAAAACTCTCTCTCACTATATGAGTCCCTACAATCCCAGTTATGTCTAAGATTAGTCTTCCATAATTATGACACCAGAATCTTTATCAATTCAAGAAAACTCTCTCTCACTATACGAGTCCCTACAATCCCAGTTATGTCTAAGATTAGTCTTCCATAATTATGACACCAGAATCTTTATTAACTCTTAACAACCCTGATTTCATTATACAATTTCTC